TAGAAACATCAAGGATGAGAGACGATCATTGATTGGCTGCTTCCTGAATGCCTGCTACTGGGGATCGAGCCCACAACCCAGGCATATGCCCATTACCTTTCAGTCCGCAAGCCCATACTCTATCCACTGAGCCAAACCAGCTAGGGCTAGAGTTATTTTATAAAATTAAAAAATCTTATTAGGATATTCAAAACACTTTTTATTAAAGTATAAGTTATTGAGATTTTAATTGGGAGAAAATTGTATTGGCCAATTAGTTCTGAGGAAACTGATAAGCTTATAATATTGCATCTTCCTATCCAATTATTTGTCTTTTCTTTATCTTAGCAGCTTCATACTTTTCCTGATATGTGTCTGGTACATTCTTAGGTTTTGCCAAAATATATATTTTAAAATTTCTACTGTGAGTATCTTTTTCTTCCATCAGATAGTCTAACCAGCCTTTATTTGTAGCTAGAAAAAAAAACATTTTTGTGTGTGTATTGATTTAGTAATGGGCTATATTTCTGAATTTTCTTGTTAGTAATTTTAAAATTACTTTGATTAAACTTTCCCTTTGTATAGTCATCTTAAAATAATGATAATTTTGTATTTTTTCAATTATTATATTTAGTTCATTCTCTTACTTGGGAAAGAGAGAAATAAATTATAGTTGACCCTTAAACAACACAGAGGTTTGGGGCATCCCCCTCTCCCACAGTAGAAAATCCACATATAAAAATTGACTCCCCCAAAATTTAACAAAGTATCATTCATCAGTATCCAAGGGGATTAGTTCCAGAACCCCTGTAGATACCAAAATTCCAACCCTCAAGTTCTTTATATAAGACTAGAGGCCCGGGTGTGGGGAAGGTCAGTGGAGGGGGTAGAAGCTGATGCTGGGTGGAGGTGGGCAAAGAGGAGAGGGAATGGGGGACAAAAAAAAAAAAAAAGACTAGAGGCCCGGGGCATGAAATTCATGCACTGGTGGGGTGTCCCTCAGCCCAGCTTGCACCCTCTCCAATCTGGGACCCCTTGGGGGATGTCCAACTGCCAGTTTATGCTCGATCCCTGTGGGCCTAAACCACCAGTAGGACATCCCTCTCACAATCCAGGACTGCTGGCTCCCAACCACTTGCCTGCCTGCTAGCCTGATCACCCCCTAACCACTCCCCTGCCAGCCTGATTGATGCCTAACTGCTTCCCTGCCAGCCAGTTGCCCCCAGCTGCCCTCCCCTGCCGGCCCAGTCACCCCCAACTGCCCTCCCCTCCAGGCCTGGTCCCCCCTCAACTTCCCTCCCTCCCCTGTAGGCCCAGTTGCCCCCAACTGACCTACCCTGCTGGCCTGGTTTCCCCTAACTGCCCTTGCCTGCTGGCCTGATTGCCCACAACTGCACTCCCCTGCTGGCTATCTTGTGGTGGCCATCTTGTGACCACATGGGGGTGGCCATCTTTGACCACATGGGGCAGACATCCTGTGAGAGGGCATGATGGTCAATTTGCGAATTACCTCTTTATTATATAGGATAGTGTAGATCAATGCATAAGGTCAGGGCACCTCATATGTAGTTTCCTGAACAGTATTTTCCATCCCTAGCTAGTTGAATCCCCAGATGCTAACCCTGGAAACACAGAAAGCCAATACTATGTTTATTGGGAAAAAAAATCTGTGATAAGTACACCCACCAGATCAAACCTGTGTTGTCCAATGGTCAACTATAATAAGAACACTAAGGTTGCTTAAAGAATGTAGAGCTTAGATGAACCTTGTAAGAATAGTAGTATTTGGACTTGGAAAGAGGGGAGGATGACTGAAATACTTCAACCTGAGCTGTCCTACTTCCCGTTAATGGAAGTTAATTGATAGAACCAATTGGTTGCTCCTGATATTACATTATAGAAAAATTCACATTCTAGTGATTTGGAATGTCCTGTGTTCATAGTAAGAGCTAAAGATAATATTATTTTCTCTATTAACATCACAACTGTCACCTGAAGACTGTCATCACCAAAATTCAATGCCTGGAGTCCCCAATTTGGGATGCGGTGAGGGGAGAGAGACTTACTTTGGTGCAAATGGCTCAATTGTGAGACATCACAGCCAGGGAACGTCACAGCTGTGCTATATGCAGAAAAGGGACATCTAGTCCTACACTTATAATCAGCACTATCTCATTATCCACCATTCATTCTGAGGGTCAGCACAACCAAATACTTAAAAGTCTAAATATACACTTGGATGTGAAATGTGAGTCACATTATTATTGTCAATAAACTTAAAATCTCTGAGAGTCCACAAAATTCTCAAATCTAAGCACTCAAATCCAAGATAAGAATAATACGACATGAATGAGACACCCTTCCCCTCACCCTCAACCCTCCAGCTTTCTGGTCATCATATGAATTAAAGCGAAGTGGTTTTTGTGTTGTTTGTTTACCAGCTTTCTTTCCTCTCTTACACTGTACTACCTTAAGGATTGTATATATCCTTTAATTTTCTCCAGGGAATTGTAAACTCCTAAAGGCCGGAGTGATACCATTATAATGAGCAAGTTATTAATAACGGGAAAGGAGCAAAGGGAAGGCCAGACATTATGGGCATGTCATTTGGGCAGCTTCAACAGGAAGCTGCAACTTTGCACTCCCCGGGGAACCACGGGCCTATTCCTTGCAAAACACTGGGGGAAGGGAGCCAACAAAGGGAAGATACTATATTATACTACATCATGCCCAGTAAAGTTGGGGTGACATAGGGAAGGTACTTGTCTGTCAGTCACACCTGGGAATGAAGATCATTTTGCCAGAATGAGTGTGGCCACTGCAAGTGCACAAAAACTTGGGAAGACATAATCTCCTAAACAAGGAGTTCACTCTCCTGGCTCTCTCGGTGCACTTGGCTCTCTTGTTGCTCTGGTGCTCTTGGGCTCGCTCTTAGATTCCTTGCATTTGCCCATATGGCCCACGCAATGTGGACCTCACACGCAGTGGACTGATGGATTGCAGCAGGAAGCACAATCTAAACTAGCCTGATGATGGACTGGACTCAGCTCCAATGTGGAAAGCAAACTCTGGACACTGGCTCTGATGTTAGCTCTACTGAAGCCCCAGCTACACATCTTCTATGAGGGAAATGGGACTTTGGAAACTCAGGGATTTAATTTCAGGGAAATAAAAATCACTTGTTCTCCCACGAGTCTCAGAAAATTCTTTTTCTTGGGATATGGCAAGAATTCCACTCCCACTAGCAACCAGGGAGAGGCCCTCTTCCTTCCGTTAAGAAGAGCGTTTGCCGTTAGGTGTTTCTATCTCAGCCCCTAGCCTACCATGTATTTGATATGCATTGAGATACCCCTGCAGAAAAGGAGCACCTAGTCTCACTTAAATAAGCACTATCTCATTATCCACCGATAAGTTTTGCATTCTCAGTGACAACTGAATGTTTTCCTTTCCAGCTTCAGTTAGTTTTTTTTAAAAAAATGTTTTTATGTACTTATTTGTTTACAGTAGTAGCTATGTTTTTGTTTTTTACATACATCTTTATTGATTTCAGAGAGGAAGGGAGAGGGAGCCAGGGAAGGAGGGAGGGGGGGTGAGGGAGAAAGAACCACGGATTGCTTGCCTGCGGACCTAGACCAAACCCACATCCTGGAAATGTGCCCTGATCCGGAATCAAACTGGCAATCTTTTGGTGCACAGGACAGTGCTCAACCAACTGAGCCACACTAGCCTGGGTTGCAGCTTTTAAAAGAGGCGGCCAGTCAACTTCAAAACTGCACATGGTGTAGCCCCCAATGGAAATACAGCAGAAGTTCCACCAATCTCACTTTTTACAAATGAGTGCACCCTGGTTTCAGGAAACAAAGGAGTATCTGCGGTGGGGTCGGGTCGGGGTGGCTTTGGGGCTCATGCTTTTCATTTCACTACAGCGCCCCAAGAGAGGAAGGCAAAGCCAGGCTCCAGGGACCATGCTGCCAGCCGGGGCCCCGAGCGTCTTCCCCGGGGTGTCCCGGACGCCCGAGGGAAGAAGCACCCCGGGACCGGGCGCACCGAGCATGTGCGCGCGGGGAGTGGAGGGGGGTGGGGGGATGAGAAGGTCAGTTCAGGCACCGGTTCCGTCACAGCCAATCGGGCGGACAGAGAAGCAGGACATTGTGACGCGCCGAGGCGGGGAAAGCGCCGGGGGGGGGGCAGGACGACCGGTCACTCGGACCCGGGGGC